AGAACTTACTCTTACATAATTGTGCAGAAAAATGCAGGTTTAACCCAGGCCTTACTAAATTAGCTTGAATAAACTTATTTTTTTTTTAAAAAAACCAATGTAATTGAAAAACGTGGCTGCAATGAATCTGGTTTATGAGGAAACATTGAGAACATTTAAGCTCAATATCTGGGTTGTTTTATGTTGTTTATTTGTTTGATTACACAACATTTGCTAGAGGAAGTCTGAAAGGACAATGGATGCAATGTCATAACACATGTTTCATAATTTTGGCATCATCATGGTTAGAAATGGAAAACTACTGAAAAGACTATAAGAGAAAGCAAGTCCTGTAATCTCAATTCTTCCTTTGGAGGGATGCTCATGCCATTTTAGAAGGTTTTCCTCCTGTTGTGTTTTAATAGTAGGAAATTCTTATGGAATTTAGATCTGGGCAAGGACTATTCTGTATATTTTCATATAAAGCTTTAAAGTATGCATTTTTAATAATAAAATTGCTTATATTTTGTCTGCAAAAAATAAAACATGATCATTGTTGGAAATTTCAAGTGTCCCATATGAACATTTATAATCAAAATTTCTGCATCTCTGGAATACCTTTTCCCATTTATCAATATACAAAATGGCCACTAACCCTTAGAAATCAGAAATGCAGAATAAGAATGCTAACATTATTGTTGAATCAGTTTTTATAGTTAGTCATGTGCTTTAAGCTTTTATATATAACATTTTAAAAATAAATAAAAACAAATATAAATGATGAAATAAAATAATTATTAGAAAGACAATCTGAGATTTGTGCTAGACATGTATACACAAAAGGTATTTCAATAGGTACCAGCTGTTCAACTTTGCAGTTCTATTTATAGTAATAGTAACTCCTATTGAATTGGATTATTTCGTTATAATTAAGATTAAGATAGAAAACCTTAATGGATTTCATTACTTAGGATGGGATTATTTATTTATTTATTTATTTATTTATTTATTATATTTCTATACCGCCTTTCTCCCGTAGGACTCAAGGCGGTGTACAGTCAAGAAAAATATAGACACACAAACATCATAAAATTGCTAATTAAAATTATTACTTAGTTTGGTCAATTAAATAAAACGCAGAATAAGATAACATTTAAAAAATCATTCACATGTTTGTATGTTTAGCCCCGCCTGTTGGAACATCAGGGTCTTGAGGGCATGGCGGAAAGCACGGAGATCAGGGATATTCCGTATCTCCGGGGGCAGTTCATTCCAAAGGGTTGGAGCCCCCACAGAGAAGGCCCTCCCCCTGGGAGTCGCCAGTCGACATAATTTGACTGACAGTACCCTGAGTAGTCCCTCCCTATGAGAACGAACTGGTCGGTGGGAGGCTATCGGTGGCAAAAGACGGACTCGTAGGTACCCAGGTCCTAAGCCATGGAGCGCTTTAAAGGTGATAACTAACACCTTGAATCGCACCCGGAAGACCACCGGGAGCCAGTGCAGCTCGCGTAGGAGAGGTGTTACATGGGCGTAACGAGCTGCGCCCATAATCACCCGCGCGGCTATGTTCTGGACCAGTTGGAGCCTCCGGGTGCTTTTCAAGGGGAGCCCCATGTAGAGAGCATTACAGTAGTCCATATGGGAGATAACTAGGGCATGAGTGACTGTGCGCAAGGCGTCCTGATCCAGAAAGGGACGCAACTGGCAGATCAGGCGAACCTGATAAAAGGCACCCCTGGCCACGGCCATCAAATGATCTTCTAAAGATAACCGTGAATCCAGGAGGACACCCAAGTTGCGGGCCCTCTCTGTGGGGAGCAAGATCTCATCCCCTATTGTCAGTGATGGTACCAGCTGACTATACCGGGACGCCGGAAGCCACAGCCATTCGGTCTTGGAGGGGTTGAGTCTGAGCTTGTTTCTCCCCATCCAGATCCGTACGGCCTCCAGGCAACGGGACATCACAGCAAGGGCATCATTGGGGTGGTCTGGGGTGGAGATGTATAGCTGTGTGTCATCAGCATCCTGATGAACACTCACCCCAAAGCCATGGATGATCTCGCCTAGCAGTTTTACATAAATGTTGAACAGAAGGGGTGAGAAGACTGACCCTTGCGGCACCCCACAAATAAGGTGCCTCGAGGTCGACCTCTGCCCCCCTGCCAACACAAACTGCGAACGGTCAGAGAGGAAGGAGGAGAACCACCGAAGCACGGTGCCCCCTATTCCTAACCCCTCCAGCCGGTGCAGTAAGATACCATGGTCGATGGTATCAAAAGCCGCTGAGAGATCTAATAGAACCAGGACAGAGGAGCAACCTCTGTCCCGAGCCCTCCAGAGATCATCCACCAATGCGACCAATGCCGTTTCCGTGCTGTATCGTGACCTGAAGCCTGACTGGAATGGATCCAGATAGACAACTTCATTCAGGTATTGGGGTAGTTGTTGCGCCACCACACTCTCAACAACCTTCGCAACAAAGCGAAGATTGGAGACTGGACGATAATTTGATAATATAGCCGGGTCCAGGGAAGGCTTCTTGAGGAGGCGCTTCACAACTGCCTCTTTCAAGGCGGCGGGAAAGACACCCTCACTCAGAGAAGCATTTATAATCCCCTGGAGCCAGCCTCGTGTAACCTCCCGGGAGGCCAGTACCAACCAGGAGGGACACGGGTCCAATAAACATGTGGCAGCATTAAGCTTGCCCAGAATCCTGTCCACGTCCTCAGGAGCCATAGAGTCAAACTCTTCCCAGATAACGCTCTCAAGACCTGCCCCCGTCTCCTCCCCTGGATCTACCCAATCGGAGTCCAGGCCTTCCCGAATCTGAGTGACTTTATCATGCAGGAATTGTACAAAATCCTCAGCTCGACCCTTTAAGGGATCTTCCCGTACCCCCACCTGAAGTAGGGAGCGGGTCACCCTAAACAGCGCAGCTGGGCGGTTCTCTGCAGATGCAATAAGAGCGGAGAAGTAGCTAGACTTCGCCGTTCTTATCGCCACTAGGTAGGTGTTAATATAAGATCTCACCTGTGTTCGGTCAGATTCAGATCGGCTTGTCCTCCAATCGCTCTCCAGGCGTCTTTTCCGACGCTTCATCTCTCTCAGCTCCTCGGAAAACCAAGGAGCTAGATGAGATTGGCATCGGGTCAGAGGCCGCAAAGGCACAACGCGGTCCAAGGCCCCAGTAGCGGCCCTGTCCCAGGCGACCACCAGGTCCTCAGTCGAGTTGTGAGCCAGAGTCTCAGGAAATGGCCCAAGCTCCATCAGGAACCTTTCGGGGTCCATCAGGCGCCTCTGACGGAACCATTTGGTTGGTTCCGTCTCCCTGCAGTGGGTGGAAGTGACTTGAAAGTCCATGTGAAGGAGAGAATGATCAGACCATGACAAGGGCTTGATGTCTATATCCCCTATTCTTAGATCATTCAGCCACTGATCAGAGACAAAAATCAAGTCCAGAGTGTGATTCCCCAAGTGGGTGGGGCCTTGAACTACCTGGGTCAGGTCCATGGCCATCATGGAAGCCATGAACTCCCGAGCCGTCTCCGACATCTCACCAGCGGATGGCAGGTTAAAATCTCCCATAACAATAAGTCTGGGGGTTTCCACCACCACCCCGGCTATAATGTCGAGCAGCTCAGGCAGGACCGCTGTTACGTGGCAGGGAGCCAGGTACGCAATCAGTAGGCCCATCTGAATCCCCCGACCCCACTTCACAAGGAGGGACTCACATCTGGCTATCTGAGGAACAGTGGCCTCCCTCGGGCAAAGACTTTCTCTAATGATTGCTGCCACTCCCCCACCCTTTCCCTGAGTCGTTGGCTGATGGAATGCACGGAAACCTGGCGGGCACATTTCCACAAGGGGAACTCCTCCCTCCTGGCCTAACCAGGTCTCCGTAATCCCTGCCAGGTCAGCACCCCCCTCTGAAATAAGATCATGAATGAGGGGGGCTTTATTTACCACTGACCTGGCATTACATAACATCAGCCGTAGACCCAGGGTCTGAGACTCTGAACAACCCGGGAAATGAGCAGTGCTTTGGGGGTCGGAGTGGGCAATCGCTTGTAAACATCAAGTGCGCACTCCCGAAACATAATATGGCCCCCTGCAGCCGTCATATCTGCCCCTCCCACTTACTATACTAATGCCCATCGCTTCATCCCCCTGCATCCTTGTCAGATTTCTGTCCCCATCCTCCCCACCATGATTATCAGACCCATTACCCCTTTCAGTGGATTTATGGATCCCCCCAGATCCATTCCCACAATCCCTCCCAGAACCCCTTAAATAGAACTTAAAGATTTATCTAAAAAACCCCAAAGCCATCGGTTTTTTGCAAACCACCTCTCAGGGTTCCAAAACTCATCCTCAAGGCATGCTAAGGCATGTGCTTTGGGGGGTGGGTCTGAAATAGGAAAGCCTATCCTTGAGTTGTTCATTATATGTTTTTCTCAAAGGAAGATTACCAGATTAGCAATTTAAGCTTTTGTCAAAATATTTTTTATTTTATTTACAAACTAAATAAAATAGTCATTTGTTCAGAGTAATATATGTTTATTTTTTTTTAATTTGAGTTAAATTAAATATATTTTGTCCATTGATTTCAACAGGCTTAACCACATGTAGTATTATGTTGTATGTAATCTTTAAAAATAACCTAGTCCTTTTTTTTCCTCTGCAAGCTGCAAATAATAGAGTCTGTTTACTGATTTATTTCTCAGGACTAAGTCATTGTTATGATTTTAAAAAACAGATAGATGTAGTAGATCTTTTAAGGCATACAAAATTCTTACAACAAAACAATATCTTAAAGGCTAGCAAACATATTGTGAAATAAACTTTGGGGCAATAGAATCCATTTCATCATTGTATTTGAAACAAATTAAATCAAAAATATTTTTTAATCTTTATGAAAATTACAGTGTTTCTGAAATTATAGTTTACAATATAAACTGTAACTGAAATTACAGTTTACAACCTAAACCTTTTTAATGGTAATATTTTTTTTCCAACAGAGGAATTCAAAGGCTCAACAATAGTTGAACTGATAAAGAAAGAGGGCACTACTTTGGGGCTTACAGTATCTGGTGGAACGGACAAAGATGGAAAACCAAGAGTGTCCAATCTTCGACAAGGAGGAATTGCTGCTAGGTAAAGACTTTTCAAGACAAAGAACAGACACACACAAAAAAGATATCTTCAAGTTCCTCAAAAATAAATAATAGATGCCTTTAACTAAGTTAGGCCATTAGAGAAGAAACATTAGAGAAGAATTTTTGAGAAAGTTGAGAAATATTTCAAGATGCATTACAAATAAAGAAAAGGTTTGGTGCTTTGCAGAATACATTCTGCAATCAAATGGTGACAAAGAATTCAAAAATTTAAATAGCTTGTACTGTGACTAATTCTTAAATTGGCAACTTATTCTACCTGTAAACAATTCAGTTGTATTTCACTAAATCTAATGTTGGTAGAAAACATGCCTCACATAAAGGAGGATGCAGGTTTAATCATTGCTCTCTCAAAAAGATCTTAAGTGAATGATTTTCACATGACACTCTGAAACATTATTCTTCTATCTAGTACATTTTTGAAAGATCTGTGTCATTTAAGGTGTCATATTATAGAAATTTGGACATGTAGAGATTTTGTCAAGCAAATGGCCAACAGACTATATAGAGAAACAGTTTGACTTGCTCTCTAAAATAGAGACCTATTTTTGCTTTGTAAGGCTTTCATATATGGTAATAATAATACTACACAAATAAAGGAATACTATATTATTATATATATAGGATGACATATCATTATTTGGAAAATTAGTATTAAAATAATATGTTTTTAACTTGTAAATGAGGTGTCATTGGTGTTCTCTGAGCTTGTTTGTTTTCTTGCAGATGTATCGGTAATGTTTTATTACCCAAACTAGGTAACAACATCCTAGATCAGACATGTCAACACAACACCTGCAGGTCAGATGCAACTCTGGATGTGTTTGGATATGGCCTTCAGGGCTGGCCTGGAGACAGTGAGGTGCCAGCCCTGCCGCCTCAGTCCCGGTCCACCCCAGCCAGGTACTGCCCCTGGGTGCATGCACAGGGGGCGGCAAGCGCACAGGGGCTAGAACTGCCCAGCAGCAGCAGCAGCTTGTTGGCCCCTTAGCTGCTAATTGGCCAGAAGCAATGTGAGCCTGAGATGTCCAATAAGCCATGCTTGGCCTCACCCCACCTGCACCACTCTTGTGCATCTTGGGGTCCTGTAGCCCAGGCAGCGCAGATGGGTCCATGCGCCGCAGCCATTGGGCTGGCCTTTTAAGAAGCAGGTGGAGGTAGAGGTGCAGGGTGGAGGCATACGATCCAGCTCGTCGGATGTGCAGATGCCTATCCACGCATGCACAGAATACTTGGTGGCCATGGGCAAGTAAAGACAGAGGGTGGGCCTCAGTGAGGCAGCCTAGCCAATTGTTGTCATTGCCACATTGCAGCCCCTGCCCGCTCAGCCTCCATCATCCAACCTTGTCCTCCAGCTCCAACTGCTACACCTCTGACGGCCCTGCTGAATGGGAAAGGCGGGGAGTTTCTGTCCCCAAGAGTATGGGTAATGAAATGTCTGCAAGAAAACAATCAAGCTCAGAGAGCACTAAGGACCCCTCATTTGAACCCTGAGCTACAAACATGTAGATGTTATAAGACAAATAAAATACAGCTTCACTGAAGAAGAGATGTGTGTTGCAGAAGTGACCAACTGGATGTGGGGGATTACATCAAATCTGTAAATGGAATCAACCTGACAAAGTTTCGCCATGATGAGATCATTAGTTTGCTCAAGAATGTTGGTGAGCGGGTTGTATTAGAAGTGGAGTATGAGCTGCCACCTGCTTGTAAGTAATAATTTATAAAATAATAACCCTGTGTAAAATGTTTTAACAAAAGTAAAATTAATGTGATGGTATGGTATAAATATGGTAATAGCTTTTTTCCCACGTCCTTCTCTTCTTCTGTTTCACAGGCTCACTGTTTTGATCTTTAATTTCCATATTAGCAATGCTTGTTTGTTAGCCTCGTTTATCTAGATTGTCATTTGTAAAATGCTTATAATTACAATGGTTATCGGTGTTTTGCCAGAACACACCCTGGGAAGAGGACTGCTATTGAAGGCGGCATAGCTCTCTAGTACTATGATGATTTTGCCTAATCAGTCATTATTCTTAAGAAAACTAATATTATTACTCCCACAGAGAAGGCCCTCCCCCTGGGTGTCACCAGCCAAGTTATGTCGGCTGGCGACACCCAGGGGGAGGGCCTTCTCTGTGGGAGCCCCAGCCCTGTGGAATGAACTGCCCCCGGAAATACGCAAGATCTCCAACCTCCGGGTGTTTCGTTGCGCATTGAAGACCCTGTTGTTCCGCCAGGCCGGGCTATCGACATGATAATTTTAAATTGGGGTATTTTAAATTTTTGGGGTTTTAAATCGGCCAAATCTATTTAATTATTTTAATTTTTAATTATTGTTGTGTCTTGTGTTTTTAAATTGGCTGTACACCGCCCTGAGTCCTTCGGGAGAAGGGCGGTATAGAAATAAAATTATTATTATTATTATTATTATTATTATTATTATTATTGTTGTTGTTGTTGTTGTTGTTGTTGTTTATTGTTTATATTTATATATCGCCCTTCTCCCAAAGGACTCGGGGCGGTGAACAGCCAACAGATAAAACACAAGAAATATAAAATTTAAAAACAGTATTAAAATCCAATTAAATTAATTTGGCCCACAATTAAAAACACCCCTGTATTAAGACCCATAATTAAACAATTTAAAAAGTAAAACAATTTAAGAGAGTTAGGCCAGCCCGGCTTGCTGGAATAAAAATGTCTTTAGGGAACGGCGAAAGGTGCGAAGATCTGGGATCCGCCGTATCTCCGGGGGCAGCTCATTCCAGAGGGTAGGTGCCCCCACAGAGAAGGCTCTCCCCCTGGGGGCCACCAGTCGACATTGTTTGACCGACGGTACCCTGAGGAGCCCCTCCCTGTGGGAGCATACTGGTCGGTGGGAGGCTATCGGTGGCAGAAGGCGGTCTCGTAAATACCCGGGTCCTAAGCCATGGAGTGCTCTAAAGGTGGTAACCAATACCTTGAAGCACACCCAGAAGACCACCGGGAGCCAGTGCAGCTCGCGCAGGAGAGGTGTTACATGGGAGCACCGAGTCGCCCCCATAACCACCTGCGCGGCCGCATTCTGGACCAGCTGGAGCCTCCGGGTGCTCCTCAAGGGGAGCCCCATGTAGAGAGCATTACAGTAGTCCAGGCGGGATGTGACGAGAGCATTAGTGACCGTGTGTAAGGCATCCCAATCCTGAAAGGGACGCAACTGGCGAATCAGGCGAACCTGATAAAAAGCCCCCCTGGCCACGGCCGTCATATGCTCTTCTAAAGACAGCCGTGTATCCAGGAGGACACCCAGATTGCGAGCCCTCTCCGTGGGGGGCAAAGATTCACCCCCAATAGTCAGCGATGGCACCTGCTGACTATATCGGGACGCCGGCAGCCACAGCCACTCGGTCTTGGACGGGTTGAGTCTGAGCCTGTTCCTCCCCATCCAGACCCGCACGGCCTCCAGGCAGCGAGACATCACATCAAGGGCATCGTTGGGGTGGTCCGGGGTGGAGATGTACAGCTGAGTGTCATCAGCGTACAGATGACACTTCACCCCAAAACCACGGATGATCTCACCCAGTGGCTTCACATAAATGTTGAACAGAAGGGGCGAGAGGACCGACCCTTGTGGCACCACACACACAAGGCGCCTCAAGGTCGGTCTCTGTCCCCCTGTCAACACGAACTGCGACCGGTCGGAGAGGAAGGAGGAGAACCACCGCAGAACGGTGCCCCCTATTCCTAACCCTCTTAACCGCCGCAGCATGATACCATGGTCGATGGTATCAAAAGCCGCTGAGAGATCTAATAGGACCAGGACATAGGAACAACCCCTGTCCCGAGCCCTTCCAGAGATCATCAACCAACGTGACCAATGCCGTTTCCGTGCTGTGCCCAGGCCTGAAGCCCAGTATCAAAATGAGTGATACCTAAGTTAGGATATTGAATTTAGTAGCTGGAACAGTAAAATGTACAATAAGCCAGAACACACAGTTGTAATTGATTGGTTAGAGAGTGCTGACTCATGCATGATGCAATCTCTGCTATGATTGGTTGCTATAAGTATAAAGGGGGAGTTTCCATTTTTCCCTCCTTTTTCTTCTGTGTGTTCTGTATTCTGTTTAATTTACCTCATGATGTTCCTGTGTTCCTGACTATCTATATTTATATATTCCGATTTCATCTGGAGAGTTGCTATGTAATTCCATGACAACATGTTTACTTACAGAGTAAAAACAGTAACTAAAGGAAAGCAGAGAAAGAATTGAATTAAGCATACCTTACTTAAGTATAAGATAGTTTAAGATAGTTACATTTTATATGTTTTCATTAACACTATCAAATTGCAACACTCTGCTTAGATAGCCTTTAGTAAATGCTAAAAATAAATAAGCTTTGTGACCTCAGTGAGAGCATTTTGGTTAACAATTAAGCATCCAGTTTAAATATGTTTATTTAAATATGCTTATTTTGAATCAAACATCTTTTAGATTATATTCAGTGTATGTTTTTTTCCCACTGCACTGAAAAATGAGTCTGTTTTGCTATATTACAACTATGACAATTGCAGTTCATTTAAGTTTTTACAACTTATTCTTTGGCATTAATAATGAGACTAAATGAAATTGATAATAGTTAATTAGATAACAATAGCCATAGCACTTAGACTTATATATCGCTTCACAGTACTTTTAAGGTCCTCTCTAAACTGTTTACAAAGTTAGCATATTGCCCCCAACCATCTGGCTCCTCCTTTTACCAACCTCGGAAGGATGGAAGGCTGAGTCAGCCTTGAGCCTGGTGTGGATCGAACCCCATGAGAGGTGTCTAGCTAGTACTGTCAATAGTTAGTCAAAATGTATACACACAATTTCTGATAATGCAAAAAGGACTCTGTATACAATGTTCCCATTAGCTCCAGGAGCAAAAAAAGAGTTCTTGCCTGGTTTTAGATTAATTTTGAGCTAAAGAAGAGTGGATGGAATGCTGTAACATTCAATCTTAGCACACACAAAGAAAGGTTTCCTTCCTTATCCACACTGGTTGGCAAGTTCCAGTTTAATCCTGGTCTATCTAGGGGGCTCCCTGTTATCCTTGAGGATCATTGTAGATAGAAAATGCTGAATTCCTAGTTTGATTCAGCATAAGTTAGTTTTCTGAATTCCCATTCAAAGCTCTTTTCCCCGTTTCATTAATAGGACCATAGCACATGCTTTTACACTTTAATCTGTGTACACAAATCTGTTTCTTGGGTGAACCTCTCTATAGTTTTTACAGTAAGCGTGTACCCTCATTTGGATTCATAGATCAGATCAGTTGAGTACCTTTTGAAATCAGACTCTTCTTTAAGTTTAGATTGTCTTGAGAGTTGCTCTTTCTATGCTTTTTTGTAACACTGTTTGACAGTATTATAAGAACTAGGGCTCTGCCAACCATTGGGAAGACACTTGATAAAGCACCTCTGCTCAGCATTCAGCATCTATTATCTATTTCTCACTCTCTTTTTAATTGCTTGAATACAACTACAAAAATAAAAAAGTTAGAAGATATAAATGTTAAATAAATAGACAGATATTCTCAGCTTTGTCTGAGCTAGGCTTGTGCAGATCACAAAAAGCCTGAAGTCCAACCTGGTTTAGCGGAGCTTTTTTATTTGCCGCTACAAAGCCCAGTCCACAGTACACAGCGTGTAAAACATTCAAAGTCAGCACTGAGAACTTCTGCCTCTCAGCGTTCTTTAAATCATTTAGCTGGGCTGGCTAGCCACCATCTGGCAGCCGAATTCACCCCTCTCCGCTTGTTCAGCAGGTTTTAAGATACCTGTCTGGCATTGCTCCCCGGCACTCCGTGATGTCATCCCCATTGCCTGCCTTGCTGGGGCCCGGGATCTGCTCTGCGAATGCTGGCTGGCTGTCAGCTGGCCAAAGCTTGCGCCCACCACCTTCCCTTGCGGTCCCACCAGTTGCTGGATTGCCCACTTCCCTCCCAGGTATGTCGAGCCCTGAATTGGGACTCAACAGGCGGCTCACCTCTACCAGGGGTTCACCTATAAGGGAGAAAGCAGTGGGGTTAGTCTCGTTAATGCGGTCATTGGGGGTTCCTGATTTGTGTGGGTGCTTGCGATGGAACTGCCGTAGCAGCCGCGACACATGGACATCACATGTTGCCACCCAGGTAGCTTTGGTGGAGGGGTACCCCTTCCATTGCACGAGGTATTGGACCTTTCTGTTGTGACCCAGGCCCATGTAGTTTATATTAAATGCAAAACAGTTCCAAAAAACAAACAGATTTTATTAAAACAGCTGAGAATTAACTCATTCTCAGCGTATTCTAAATGAAATGAAAGCAAAGTCTTTAAAACACCAGTCTTTAGTTTATCTCTGACCTTGGGATAATTAGGCAAACTGCCAAAGGCTTTTCTTGGCAACAGTTCAGGAACAGAAGAAATAACTACAGCCAAACAAGAAGCAATTCTCTCAATGGTTGTTTTCTGGCAAAGAGGCCAAGAGCCATTGCTGACCTTTTAAGCCTTATGGGAGGGGCCAGTCATCTCTTGGCCCTACTCCCGAGTCGTCTTCTCTGCTTTAGCTGCTCCTGCCTTCTGGCAGCTCTTCTCATATGTGCACTAGGAACAGGCTCCTCTTGTTCCTCTGCCTCTCTACTGTCAGCCTCTGGAGACTCTGAAGTTCGCACATCACTCCCTGATGGCCCTGGCTCCATCTCTGCCTCCGACGCAGAGCTTCATCCGGGCCTTCCCCAGCCTCCAGGACTGGCCCATGTTCTTCCTCAGTGTCATCACTGTCTGACTCTGCTGTCAGCTCTGTTGGCGGACCACAACACGTGAGCCGACGGAATGAGGTATACTTGGGAGGTATATGCACAGGGTTGCAGTTTACCCTAGCTGTTCGTTTGCAACAAGACAGCCCCTACGGCCACATCGCTTGCGTCCGCCTGGACTACAAAGGCCTGTGTCGGGTCGGTGTGTTTCAGGACTGGCTCACAGGCGAAGAGAGCTTTTAGCTCCTCAAACACCCGTTGACAATCGGCCATCCACTTCAATGCCTCCCCCAGTCGAGGTTTCATTATGGCGGGTTTGGTATGTAGTAAGTCCGTCAGGAGCAACGCCACCTGAGCAAACGATGGAACAAATTGCTGGTAAAAGTTGGCAAAACTGAGGAAACTCTGCAGCTGTTTTCTGTCCTCGGTGTTTGCCACCTGAAAACCGCCTGGACCTTACAGGGATCCATCTCTACCCCCTCGCTAGATATCTGATAATCCAATCTTGTTCGGTAAAACTCACACTTTGAGAGTTTCATGAACAGCTTGGCAGCTAGCAACTTTTGTAAGACCTGGCGTATCAACCAGGTGTGTTCCTCCATTGTTTTGGTATAGATTAGGATGTCGTTCAGGTATACAAGTACCTCCCGGTATAAATGTTCATGCAGAAACTCTGTGACATCATCCGCCATCACCTGCTTTGCCGGGGCCTGGGATCTGCTCTGCGAAAGCTGGCCCACCACCTTCCCTTGCAGTTCTGCCGGTCACTGGGTCGCCCACTTCCCCCCCCCAGGTATGTCAAATCCTGGATTGGGACTCGACAGATATACTAAGTAAATTTATAAATATATAAAATGATTAAACTTGTTTAAATATTATGTAGTGTTTTCAAGTCTTTCTGCTGCATCCATGAAGGGCTAATTCAAAGGCTTGTCTGTTGATAAATTATTGATCAATGGTCATGTTATTGCTTCACTGTTGTTAGTTAAAGCTGCAGCATGCTGGTGCATTTTGCTGAAAAACCTCCCTCAACAAATATTCAGCCATGACTTTCTAGTATTTCTGTCTTCTTTTGGATTATCAAATGACTTTAGATTGCTTAACATGTAGAGGCCATTTATAAACTACATTAATTGTGTTATCAAATCTATAGAAACTTTTTTCCCCTTCTTGATCAGAGAAAAACTGCTGTCCGGTTTCTTGTCTCATATTCATCCATTGCCCTTTCCCCCACCATCTGGTACTGAATGATCATAGCTGCTATTTTTAAGTTACTGGAATCTTGAACTGTTCCTATGTTGAGTCCTGTTGTATTATTTAATAAATCAAACTTCACTTCTTTTTCTTCATTTTTTATTGATACTAAAGTTCTAAGCAGTTCTGTAGTAGCTGTTATCACTATACTATTAAAAAATATCTCCAAGGTATATTCCATTTATTTTTGCTCAGTCTGAGGAAAATTTTAAAGTTCAGAGGATCAGGGGAAATTTTTTACATCAATTTCTAATTCTCCTTTTCTCCAGTCTTCCTGTCTGTCTCTTCCCTTTCTAGCGGAGTTGTATTTAGCAGAATTTGACCTTGAGAGTGACTGAACTCAGTGTCTTATCTCCAGTTAATTATCAGTGTTATGAGCTTGCACTGCTTCTTAGCTGCAGGCCTATCCATTGTTCTAGTTTGATTTCTGCTATTGAGTAAAGGGCAAATCAATTATCTTTAAAATCCCAAAAAGAATTTGAAATCTCCTAAAAAAAATTATTTTTGATAATCGTCAAAGGCAAAATTGAACATTTAAAAGTTAGCACAATGTCTTATATGCACTATAACTGAAAAGCCACATAATATCTCTTGGATTGTATACTACAGCTGATATTGCAGGAGCTGTATATAATAATGCAAAATTGTTTGCAATTTATGCCATCTAATCTCATTTATCCCATTCATAGCAATCTGCAACACCACCCTTTTCTGGTGCAAAATAACATGAGTTGCCATTATTTTCAGTAATTTCTGTGCTCTATCGAAGAGGATAACATTTTACAGTATATTCATGATGCAACGAAACCTAGGGGGAAGATTTTTCTATTCTCTGTTACTGCCTATTTTTCTTCCCGAGCCTCCATTACATCTATATTTGCACTTCTCCTGTTGGGATCAATTTTGGTGTAGTGCTTTTATATTACTTGAGAATAAAAGTAATTTAGCTTTTGATGCCCCTTCTAGTGATCATCTTAACATCTATTTCTCAAAGAGGATTTTGAGCTCATCCATTTTGCTATTTTTGGTGTACTGGTTAACGCATCAGGCTAGAAACTGGGAAACCATGAGTTTTAGCCCCACAAAGCTAGCTGGGTGACCTTGGGCCAGTCACTTTCTTTCAGCCCTAGGAAGGAGGCAATGGCAAACCATTTCTGAAAAACCTTCCCAAGTAAACTACAGGGATTTGTCCAGGCAGTCTCCAATTATTGGACATAATTGAACAGAAAGAAACAAAAATTGCTATCGTGGACACTACGTGGTAAAAAGTTGAGATAATCAGTTACATTATTGAAAACAGTTTTTGGCCATTAAATCCAAAACTGGATTTCGAAAAAGGTTTGTAGCTCCCATTTCCCCTCTGTTCTATCCCTTCCTCAAGAGATAAAAGCTCTTTAGTTTCCAATCTGGCTGTGTCAGCTACTCCTAGAAGTTTAGAGTTAAAGAACTTTGAAATCTGATATAAAATACCATAAATGTATTCCAAGTCCAAAACAGGAAGATTTGAGGCGTTTGTATTGCAAAGTTGGTGGTGGGGAGTACAAGATTTTACCTTTAAATTTACTTTAAAGAAAGCTTTCATTTCATATTTAGCAATTACTGGAATTCTTTCTTAATCACTGCCTTGGTACTTAACAGAGACATTGGGTCCTTAAATCACTGTGTGTATATGTTCCAGCTTCAGTATCAACCAATTGAAGCCTGACACTAACACCAGATAACTTTGGAATATTAAGAGAATATAGCTCATTTATTATGCTGAAGCAAATGCTCTATTTTAAATTGTTTAGAGCCTCTAGATATAATCTGCATTACAGAATTTTTCCTCCTGCTTTGATTTATACCTAATTCTCATTCTTCATATTACTGCTACTCAAATTTGTATCTTCGTATTAATCTCCCAGAAAATTTCAATATTTCATAGCGGGGGGGAAAGTTATCATTATATAAAATATAAATAGTAGACTGTCTTCAAATCACTAGTAACAAATAGCAATAAATAGCTTGCCTGATAATCCAAAAGCAGTATATTATCTAAGCAGTTGTGCTAAGAACTAAAAAACAGTTATCCTCTCCATATATATCTTAAGTTCATCCTCCTGGCAGAAGACATTTCTGTGCATGCGCAGACGTGCTCAGTACACTTGAAAAAGTTGTTGAAAACACTTCTCTGAACCTTGGACAAATACATCCTCCTCAGTGAAACTTCCAAAAGGTTTGCTCAGCTCAAATAAATGATACATTAATTATGATTAAATTCTAAAGTTTAGTTTTGCTGCAAACAGTATAATTAGAAAGCTTTATCTTATTTTTCAGCTGTACAAGGTTCAGGTGTCATTTTTAGAACTGTGGAAGTTACTTTACATAAAGAAGGAAACACTTTTGGATTTGTAATTAGAGGTAAGTTCCCCATAATAATTTGTTTCTCAAAACTTTTAAGCTGATTTACTCCCATATTGTATGCTTTCATCCATTATACACATTCCTCTGATTGCTAACATGGCTGAAATTATTGTATGAAAACTTAGTTGTAATCAAATATCATTATATGGTTTTCATTGGAATTAGTCAATAAATATAACCGGATTCTGCTCATTATATTTTGAACCAGCCTCATTAATATTTAAGTAACATTAAAAACAGGAGTGGGAAAGAAAACGTATGTTCAAACATTCTAAAGATATTCAAAATAGTAAATGTGGATGTAGATTTTGATACAAGTATAAGAATGTGTTCATTTTATTGCCTTTCCTAGGTGGCGCACACGATGACAGAAATAAATCTCGTCCTATTGTAATAACATGTGTTAGACCTGGAGGTCCTGCCGACAGGTATATTTCATTTTCTGGAATGCACTTATACATATTGACATTCACAAATAGAAACATATAAATACAAAAGGACAAAGGCTGAATCACTGAAGGAAGATGCAAGTTAAGACCAAAAACTACAAAGCACATGAGACACCCTCATGTATAATCAAAATTACACATTTCATTATTTGTGTTATAACAAACATTGCATAAGACTGCATGATGTGAATTTTAAAGAAATGGCTTCTTTGATTAAATAGTGTTTAATATATGAATGTTTAACAAGTGTTTAAAGTACAAAGAACAAAGAACAAAATACAAGTTTAACCTTCTGTTTTTTTGAAAAATTGTTTGCAAATTTTTTTATTTTCATTCTAGGGTGTTATTTTTTTTCCTATTTGAGAAAACAGTCCTTTAATTTTAATTTTAATTTAAAAAAAAACATACATTAGGAATGGCTTAATACCTTATGAACATTTATTCATAGTACCATTAATTCTATCTGTATGTCCTCTAAAACCTAAACAACATTTACTTTTGCCCTTTTCTTTAGGAGCTCAAAGTGGGATATATCGACTTTTGTCCTTTTCTTTTCTTTTATTCTTTTAACATCAACCCTGCCAGATGAGGGTTAAAGAAAGACAGTGATTAGCCCAAGTTTACCCTGTGAACTCCAAGATCTTGGGAACTTGAACCTGAATTTTTCAGTCATAGTATAACACCTTAACAATTACACCAGTTTCCTATTTTTATCCCCATGAAAACTCATGAGATAGTTCAAATGAGTGAGTGACTGAATAAAGGTCATCTGTTAGACAATTTAGCTAGAATTTCTTTCTTTTCCAATAACTGCAAATATAGACATATTCATATTCATATTAAGTCATTAAGGTCATGCTATTGAAATAGTGATGTATATTGCTTGCCTGCAGTTAATCTGATTGAGTGATGCTTTGTCTATAGCTCATTTTGCCTATAGCTCATTTAAAACTATGTTGAATTGTATGCAATTTTTTGGCATGGAAAAGACCCATATTAATTTTTTCGTAGAGGGAAATTCTACCTGTATTTGAATCCAGAAAAAATTTAGATATCCTCCAATTGTGAAGTGTTCTATTTTTGTTTTTCTGTTTGTATATCCAGTCACTCAAGACGTTCTTGGGCTGTTACTTTGGCACAAACCATCAGTGTGAGTGAGAGGGGATCAGCAGAGATGCTTGTTTATATCTGCCATACAGTTGCAGAAGTACAAGCCAGTTATTGATGAGGAAAATCTTGCAGCTTTTTCTCCCTACCTTCTTGTTTGTTGATAGCTCATCACTTGCTATGTTTTGTTATTCTCTCCAGCTGCATATGCTTTTTTCATGGATGGAAAGATAACAGTAATTCTTCTATAGAACTGAATGCATTTTATATGAATCCCAGAAAAGAAAGATTATTCCAATATCTGTCATGCTGAATAAGAAAAAAAGCAAAACCTTTTGTAAGAGAATAAAAGAATGATTTTCAAACTTGCACATTTTTAAATGGAAAGTATGAGCAACTACAATTTCGAAAGACTATTTTCATAGCTGGCAGACACATAATAAGATTCAAAGGACAGATTTAAATTTTCCATGACTGCCAGTGCAGTACAAAAAAAACTTTCTACAATGCTGGTAGTCCTTGTTTAGTGACCACAATTGGGACTGGTAGTGGTCACTAAGTGCTTTTTGCTCAAGGTACTCAAATCAACTCTTTCGAGCTTGAAACATTGCCCCTGTCTGCCAGATAATCTATCTCATGTCCCAAAGATGCTTCTTCAAGAGGTAACTGCACTTTCTGGTTTTTCTTTGAAGATGTTTTGCTTCTCATCCAAGAAACTCCTTCAGTTGAGTTTGAAAAAGCATCTATGGGACAACCATGATCTGAATGACTGAAGATCTCCATAAATCTATCTCATAATTAAACTAGGACAATCTGGAAAATGTTATGCTGAAATTTTTGAAATGAAATATTTTATATGCATACCCATAGTAAATTTTAAGAGAACAGCCAGTTGTGTTGGATGGTGAGAAAGAATACTAGAAAATCTAGATATTTTCTAACAGTTTTCTAAGAAACATTATATTAAATGAATAATGACTATTCTTTTTCAGAGAGGGTACTATCAAACCTGGAGACAGGTTGCTCAGCGTTGATGGAATTCGGCTTGTTGGAACTTCACACAATGAAGCCATGTGTATTCTCAAACAGTGTGGGCAAGAAGCAACTCTGCTAATAGAATATGATGTCTCAGTTATGGGTATGTTGTAATTCCAAGATTTCATTCTGGAAGCCATCCATTACATTTTATAGTCCATCTTTTAGAAGCTATACAAACATGTTTATTATTCTGTTCCTCTACTAGCACATAAATTCCCTTATTGCTAAATCTCATTAATTTCTCTAGGTTCATGAAGAGGTGAATTTGAAATTGGATTATTTTATGATTTACTAGATTGAAAGGGTTAGGGTTAGGGTGAAATCAGATGAAATGAAATCAGAGTGGTAACATTCATTAATTCTTGTGAAGTAGTTTTTTCATTCAAATGGAAATAAGGATTTGCATATATTTTTGTCAGTTCATTAAAATGGTCAGCACAAATCCTTCAGTGTGTTTGGTGATGGAAAATGGCAAAAATTATAAACAGCATTGATCCTGAAATTAAACTTGTAGTCAAAACCCTCCTTCCCCAAAAGGTTAAAGAAGAAATTCTAAAAAATATATTTATTGTGCTGAAATGACAATGTATTTTATCTGTCCTCCACATAAATCACTTTTGGTTAAGAATATTGTGATTTGCTGGTACTTTTAGAAACTTTACAAAAGTTGATATGACTTTCTAAGTTTATGTGATATATAACATGACAATTTAATTTGTCTAAATAGAGAATAGTATGAAAATCTTACTCTTAGTTTAATAGCCAACGTAAGTTACATAAAATAGCATGAACTTTATATGCTTATATATTTACATCAGGTGTATGTGTATTTGTATAACTTCCTACAAGACCTTTTACAGAAATTCTAATTGTATTTTCTTATCAGGAACAAATTTAAATTCTCAATTTCCAGAGAAGCAATGGCAGAATAAAATGGCTTCACTTTTAGTGGAGCCAATGATTGCAGTGGAAACTGGAAACTGGTGCAAGTTTCTTCTTCAGATGTCTTGGGATTGCTTCTTACAGTTGCTTCCCATGATGGGACCATGAAATAGCAGTCTCTGGCAGTTTGTTGAGCTTTGAGTGTTGGGAGAGACCAGCTTTGCCCAAGCTGCTATTCGAAGCCCTTCAAAGTACACTGAGTGTGTATGTGGATATATACATAATGGTTACCTTTTGAGAGCTGAATGCAACGAAATTTCATTTTAATGTATGGTGATTAGTGTACATTTAAATAATAAAGTTCTATTCTATTCTATTCTATTCTATTCTATTCTATTCTTTCTAGTTCACCTACTTCCTCTCTTAATCACTTTTATTGGAAATGGCATGTAAATTGCTTTTTAGACATTAAGAATCTCTAGAAGGTCATCTCACATTATACTATTATGATTTTCTTCCAATCTGCAGCTAAAGAAGATTTATGTAACTTTAAAACTTAAAGAAAAACATTTTTTAACTTGGAAATAAGCAGCAAAAGGTTGATTAGAATACAGATTTTTGAAAGTTTTCAAATGAACTAAAGGGCAAGAACTAGACTTTTAAAAGGTTTTAAGAATAGTTCTGTAGTTTGTTTAAAATTTCTTTAAAATGTATGAAGATTTGTGTCTAAGTGTAAGAAATCTCTTTCTGGGAAATTGTTCTGGATTAGAGAAAAACATGATAAGAAATGACATTTGAAGGTTGGCTACCAAAGGCAACCAGAAAGAAACTATTAGTGGAGCTTCGCACTCCCGATACTAGAGTGATTTGCGCAATATCGCCTTTTCCAGGAGGGATGTTGGCTTTAGTGGAGCTTCGAGCTCCTGCTGCAGTCACGGTTTGCTCATTAACCCTTGCCCGCTGAGGCTTCTTTGTGGGGCGCCACTGTTGCTGGGGATTGAGAGCTTTATGCCTCACCCAGTTGTCCCTAACTTGCTGGCCGTTTTGCGGAGCTATCGCGCTCCCCTTCCACAGGAGCGGGTTTTTTCTGTGCCACGCTAAGTCCTCACCACTCCTACTACACGCCTCTGGGCGACTCTCCACTGGCCTCCAGACTTGAGTCTGTGCCTCCCTGCGGCCATCTCGAGGGATCTCCCTGGCAGTTGTGGTCTACTTGGGTTATTTACTTGAGTTTGGACTGGCCTCATTGCAGTTTTTTCTGCATCCGCCCTGACAGGCATTTACCTTGACACCACATCATGCCTAAGAGCTGCATAAGTCCAAGCATGGCAGGAGGGCAGGAACTTCTGATTGCCCTGCAAAGGAGGTCTCTTTGACCACTGCTGGTCCTTCAACCAGACCCTCCAGTGACAGTACTGCGCGACCTCACCATAGGTCCATCAGTTGCTCCCTTTCCTCCCGGGCTAAACTACGCCGGGATAAGGTTTTAAAAAAGATATGTGCCAAGGCCAGCGAGCACCAATCTACCCCCAAGGAAGCGGGTGCTGCTTCTTCACGGGCAGCGGTTCAAACTCCTCCAGTGGTCCAATCCAACCAAGCTTCCCTCAAAGATTGTCCGATGGTCATCCACCTGGATGCCCTGTGGGGTACTGCAGCTGAATCCGCTCCTGGGGTGCCGAGGAATACAGCCTCAACGTCAACTATGTTACCAGCCTCATCTGAATCTACTCCCCCCCCAACCCCCTGCGGATCTGGCCACTGATGATAACCAACATACCGCTTTCCTTTCACCAGAGCAGATCCAACAAATGATTGCTGCAGCGGTTCAGCAATCACTGGCAGCTCAATTCCAGCCCTCTAGCAGGGTGGTATCGGTGGTGTCTGGTGCTTCTGTTTCTTGCTCGGAGGCCTGTCATGAGGAATCTCTCTATGTGGAGGCCCCTACTTCTCCTGTTTCTTCCGCAGGGTCTCATGTTTTTTCATTAGCGGAGATGGCGCCTCAAGACTTTGATCTTTCTGAGGATGAAGGCGTTCCTCCAGATCAGCCCGCTTTTACGGGCCTGTTCCTGCAGGCCTTGTTTAAGTCGCTGTTGTTCAAAGCAGTTAATACAGCACAATTTGGCACCACTCCTCCAGCACAAACTCCTCTTCCTGCGTCTCAAGGGCCTTGAATCCTCTCTTTGCTGAACCCCCTAAGGACTCAATTCCTACTCCACCACTGTTTCTAGATGTCATCAGGAAACAGTGCAACTCACCCAGATTGGCACCAACTCCATTGGCTACAGACAGGAAGAACTTCAATGTCGCGACTGACCTTGCATCGCATCTCCAGGTGCCGTCAGTCGATGCCCCAGTGGCGGCTTTGCTACCTAATGCATTCATTCCCGGGGATCCGGACAAGGGACTGTGACCAGAGGAGCAGCGATTGGACCAAGTCTTACAACGAGCCTACCAAGTAGCGGCTTGGGCCATCCGTTCGGCATCTACTGTGTCTTTTTTTAACCGGACCACACTTCTCCTTGTGAAGTGGGGTCATGGGGTACAGATGGGTTTGCTGATCACGTACCTGGCTCCCTGCCACATGGCAGCAGCTCTGCCCGAGCTAGTCAACGTCATCGCAGCAGTGGCGGTTGACACCCCTAGACTTATGGTCATGGGGGATTTCAACCTGCCGTCTGTGGGTGAGACGTCTGAGGTGGCTCGGGAGTTCATGGCTTCCATGACAGCTATGGACCTGACCCAGCTAATTCATGGCCCTACCCACATGGGGGAAACACGCTGGACCTGGTTTTTGTCTCTGGACAGTGGTTGAGTGATCTTGAGATAGGGGATATAGTCACCGAGCCCTTGTCATGGTCGGATCACTCTCTCCTTCGTCTTGACCTTCAAACTGCTGCACCTTGCTGCAGGGAGGCGGAGCCGGTAAGATGGTTCCGCCCCAGGCACCTGATGGAGCTTGATAGGTTCCAGATGGAGCTTGGGCCATTCCCTGAGGCTTTGGCTCACGCCTCAACTGGAGACCTAGTGGCCGCCTGGGATAGGGCGGCCGCTGGAGCTCTGGATCGGGTCGTGCCTTTGCAGCCTCTGACCCGGCGCCGATCTTATCTGGCTCCTTGGTTTACTGAGGAGCTAAGGGAGTTGAAGCACCGGAAAAGATGCCTAGAGAGCAGATGGAGGGCCAGCCTTTCTGAATCTGACCGGACATTGGTAAGATCCCATATTAAGAATTACCTAGTGGCGATAAAAGCAGCAAAGTGTAATTATTTTGATGCTCTTATTGTGTATTGTGTTCCACCAGGGAGTGCAGGAGGACCCCTTGGAGAGTAGAGCCGAGGACTTTGTACAGTATCTGCATGACAAATTCACTCAGATTCGGGAAGACCTGGACTCCGATTGGGTAGTTTCAGGGGGGATGACTGAGGCAGGTCTTGAGAATGTTATCTGGGATGAGTTTGATCCTGTGACTCCTGATGACGTGGACAGGATTCTGGGTAGACTGAACGCGACCACATGTTTGTTGGACCTGTGTCCCTCCTGGTTAGTGCTGGCTTCTCAAGAGGTGACGCGAGGCTGGCTCCAGGAGATTATAAATGCTTCATTGGGTGAGGGTGATTTCCCCGCCGCCTTGAAAGAGGCAGTGGTGAGGCCTCTCCTCAAGAAGCCTTCCCTGGACCCGGCAGTGTTGTCAAATTATCGTCCGGTCTCCAACCTTCGCTTTGTGGCAAAAGTTGTTGAGCCGGGCTTCAGGCCTGGGTACAGCACGGAAACGGCATTGGTCGCATTGGTTGATGATCTCTGGAGGGCTCGGGACAGAGGTTGCTCCTCTGTCCTGGTCCTATTAGATCTCTCAGCTGCTTTTGATATCATTGACCATGGTATCATGCTGCACCAGTTGGAAGAGTTAGGGGTGGGGGGCACTGTGCTACGGTGGTTCTCCTCCTTTCTCTCCGACTGGTTGCAGTCGGTGTTGGCAGGGGGGCAGAGGTCAACCCCGAGGCGCCTCATATGTGGGGTGCCACAAGGGTCGGTCCTCTCGCCCCTTCTGTTCAACATTTATATAAAGCCGTTGGGCGAGATCATCCATGGTTTTGGGGTGGAGTACCATCAGTACGCTGACGACACTCAGCTGTACATCTCCACCCCGGACCAGCCCAACAATGCCCTTGAAGTGATGTCCCAGTGCCTGGAGGCCGTGCGGATCTGGATGGGGAGAAACAG